GGTATTTAGCGGGGGACCTGGAGAAGTTTCAGTCGGCAAGTCTGTATCACTGCAGCTACCAGCATACATATATGCATGGTTTAACTAAAAAGTATATACGTCATAAGACAGCAGATCAGGTCCGTAACTAGGATTCTGAGACAACCTAGTCGAACACTGAAGGTGCGAGCCGTCTAGAGGGGTCTGGGAGCATGCCCCTATGCCCCCCAGAAAATTTTGGATTTCGTGAAGCTTGGATAACCTATTTCCAGCATTTTTGGGAGTGTTCCAACAAGAAATTAACCTTATAAAGAGTGACATGTCCACTTACTGCAATTTTACAGTCTCCCAAATGTAATCCAGTCCCATAATAAGGCAACATTATATGTGATAATGAAAATGTGCGTGGTATAGTATTATCATTCACCACACTTCAAATTCTACAGTACTGTATTACATGTATTGGGGCACTTGACATCGACGCATTCGCCTTCTCAGTGTCACTGAAGAGCAAGATAGGCCGGGTTGTCTCTTTGGAGTATCTTTGCTTGGAAACACTAAACTAGAATTTCGTCCTAAAATGCCATTTCATGCCTTGTTCCACGAGCAAATTATTTCAGCCATGGTTTAGGTTTCTGGCGATGTTTAAATTTCAGTCCCCAAACTACCGTGAGTCAACTGACTCGGTTGACTTATAGCTAGTTACGGGCCTGCAAGATGATGGTCAAATTCAGAAATGTTAACAACTTAGCATCATTTGAATTTCTCACTTTGATATTGCTGGTTGACCGTCACTTCAGGTAGTTGTTAGGGACCTCATTGGGGGGGGGGGGGAATAGCCGACTGGAAAGGCCAGTAAGAGGGCTTGGGGGACATGTCCCCCTGTCTATATATGTTAAAAGAGGCCCTGTTTTGCCATGATCATGGATAACAACATTTTCTCTCCCTTCGTTAAACTTTTATACAAGCTGTAAATTCGGGTAATATAAAGAATTGCTATAGCTTTCCATTTATATATCGATTATATTGGCGCGACAGACCGTATGTTTGCATGTTTTTCACGTGAACAACTTTACTTGCGAAACACGCGGGGTGTGATAGCGGAATGGTTTTGGTGATACCGGCCCAATTACATGCGCATCATCCGTCAAGACGCTCATCCGTCGGATCATCCATTTTAGCGTAAACACAGGAACCTTCACTATATCTGATCTCTTGTGTTTGATTGATTAAGTCTTTATTAAAAATATACTCAACAACAGACGTGCGAGTTTACAACAATATCGATCACTATATAAGTTAACATGTCTCTAAGCTATAACTATATATTAACAACTCAATTTAGTATATAATGATTAAATTACTATTTAATTAAACAATAAATTAAAAAGACATCTATTTATTAAATTTATTTTAAACGTTCTGTGCGAACACGTGGTAAAATGAATTTGTGACCACGATCTCTGAGATATCTTGATTTTCTGGGTAGAAAGAGGTGATGGAGCGGGTGGTCTTCTTTATCATAGGCGTAGGAACCAGGGGGCACTGGGGGCATGCATGTGCTCCCCCTATATAAGTTATCCTCAAAGTGCCCATTTTTCAAAATAGAACAATGGGGAAAATGCCCTTTTTAATACTATAAAAAGGTGCCCTTCTTATGTAGTCCCCTCCCCCCTAACTTCACGTTGCTTCCTGCGCCTTTGTTCATTATATCAATGATACTTTCCCGCAGTTTTTGATCTCTCTCCCTAATGATATCTTGAATTGGTATGTGTTTAGCTGTATTTAGCTCTTTTACAGAATTTATCAATTCGACTGATCAATACTTATAATCTTCATAACTTAGAAAGACATGATTACGATATCAAATAAAAGTTGTACGTTCATGTATGGAATAGCCATAAAATTTACACACCCTTAGAATATGCAACTAAAGCAAGAGCTAACTTTATGTGTTTTCTAAGTGCCGCTCTTTCAACTTAAGCTGTTGTTCGTAATTCGTCATGTTTTCTGTAAATTTTATATTTGTTATCGTCTTTGATTTATGTTTGTTATAGTTTGTTTTCATTAAGGTTGGTCTTCATATGGGGCTATTCATGTCCTGTTGACCATACCTTCAACCATATTATGTAGTGTTTTAGTCTATTTTATGTATGGTTGTAAAGTTAATAAATAAATAAATAAATAAATAAATAAATATGTATAACAGTCAAATTGTTCGTCCGGCCCAATTGCACGGATTTTCATTAAGAGGTAATTTTTTTCAATGTCACGTATTTGCAATGAAAAGTGTTCAAAACCTAAAATCTTTTTGGCGTTCCTCTCAAAATTACGTTGTTTTAGCTTTATTCATTATAATTATAATAATAATTATTATTATTATTTATTCATTATAATTATAATCATAATTATTTTATTCATTATTATTATAATTATAATCTGTTTATAGAGTCAGCTACCTTTTTAAATGCATCTGCCGGTTGAGAAACATAAAATAATAGTTAAAAATTGTCAATTAAAATACAATTATCAATGATGCTTTAAAATTGACTCCATATTTACAGTCATATGAGCAAAACTTACTGAACTTCAGACATCATTTTCTCTTTGGCGTATCATCTAAAATCTCTTCATTTTAGCGTTATTTTACAGATAAAGCACTAAACATACTGTTTAAGTTTGTTTGCCGATTGAGAAACGTATCGAAAAATAAAAATTTTGAATTTAGTCATAACCTCAAGTGATATATTATACGCATTAGTTTTGAGCGCGTGTTACGTGACATTGAAAAAATCTCCTCTTAAACAGTTACACCCAATTGTTTCAATGACGTTTTTCGTTCTATTGAGTATTGTTGGTATTGGATATGGAAGGGGCTTATTTGTTTTGCCTCTAATCACCATCTCCTATAGCCAGCCGAGGACAACTGTTAGCTATAAAACTACTGTTTTGTAAGTATATGATGAACAAGTAAAAAATAAGGATAAAAAACCTTGTTTGGTATATTTATTAATTTATACTGCAAGTGAATTAAAGTAAATATACATATACCTGAGGAATCGCAAAGATATTCAACGGATTGAAAACTAATCATATAAACTTGTCCTTGTGCATATCAATATACTGTAAATTATAATCTGTGCAAATTCACGGGAACTCAGCGATCCAAATTTCGGATTTTCAGAGTCGTTGGAAAAAGGCATTAATTAAACTCGAAAGGAAGTCCAGAATTTGACACAATGCAAATGTACCAGGTGATCTCGTGTTCGTATTTTAGCCAATCAGCGCTCAGAAAGGGTTGTCCAAATAGAAATCCATTTCTATGTCTTCAGTCAATTATATCTTTCGTTATTCTTTATGAAACTAGTTGAAATTTTGTAATTATGTTTGGTTATGAGAACTATAGCTCTGACAAAAATATGGAATCAAAATAAAGTATATCACAGGAGATATTCAGTTGTTTTAATCACAAAATGAATTTCTATTTGACAACTAGTGCCAGTACTTTTCCGCGTATCAAGATCATCTGGTATAGGTCAGTGGAGCATTGTCCTCTGACCTATACATCCCCTGCATGCGATCCGTTGAAGGAATACCCCACAAAACAACACTGGCTGTTTCGGCCAGTATACTTGAAATTATAGTAAAACTATTGTTCTTTCTTTGTTAGTATTACAATTTTCGTTCAACCTTGAAGCGTGCATGACGATTTTAACGCCTCTGTTACGTTTTACCAAGGAAAACTTGTTATTATTGACACTATAGCGATGCAACTAAAATCTCTTACCATTTGCGTTCAAACTTGAAGCTGGACGACGGCGTTTACATTTCGATCAAATGTTGCACGTCTGACCGCCAATAGACCTTTCTCCTTTTTTTGATCTAGACAAGTCTGGACAAAAATTTCATCACAGCTTGAAAGAGCATCACAAAATTAGTAATGTTCCGAAGTTTCGTTGCGAAATGTTGTAAAATACAGCCCTATAACCTTGCGAAGTTTATAATTTTCAATCATTTTGTATTACAAATGGGAAATTGATAATCAGTTTGATCATCTGATTATCAATTTCCCGTTTGTAATGCAAAATGACTGAAAAACGGCAAACTTATATTATCCGCATTTTACAACATTTCGCAAAGAAACTTCGCCTTCGATTCGGAATATTACTAATTTTGTGATGCTCTTTCAAGCTGTGATGAAATTTTTGTCCAGGCATATCTAGATCAAAATTTCACTCATAAGGGGAAAGGTCTATTTAACTGTCAGGTTTGGTAATGATGCGACATTGTTTATATAAAATTGTCACATTTGTGGAAAAACACCAAGTGTACGCCAGCTTTTAAGCAATTTTCTATCTTTTTAAATTTTACACTCGTAAAATTCAAGTTACTGTACTTCGCAAGGTAGAATGAAAGATGTACATATAAAGGATAAATTCAAACTTCACTGATATAAAAATCGAAAAATCTGAGTTTTAAGTTGTAGCTTTACGAGTCACATTTTGTCAGCAAACGTTCACTTGAAACGTACGTAAGTGGCGGCGTTCAAGAATAAATTTTTCTGTGTATAACTCACTGTTAGTAGTGTTGATGCATGTATGCAGTATAGGGTTGAAGTACGAATTAGCGCGAGTCCCAAATATTACCACAAACAAGTTTTTTTTTATGCATCTGATCATGTTGATCGAGTACATGAATTCTTATTATTGGAATATTGCATGGATACTTGTAGTACAATTGTGAGACACACTAGCTCATGAAATTAGTCATTGTGTCACTGTTTATCATTACTGATTTTTTGTCAAAATTGCTTCCAGAATGCAGGAAATTGCATTTCTATTTCTATAAGCCTTAGAAAATCAAACATTTTCTGGGGGAGCATGCCCTGACGACTCGAATCGGCAAATCTAAAATCCTAGTAACTAGTTACGGCTTGTTATCGAATATCGTGCATTATATATTACGTGTTGCTTGAATACAGCAAGGACAAATATTTAGTTACCAGTAACCAGGTTGACACTAGCAATTTTTGTCGATAAAATAACTTTACAAACCTAATCTTGTACAGCTACTTGACCTATGATCTGTGCTATCATTCATGCAAACCGACATTAAGAATTGTACAATAATATTAATAACGGTACTAAACTTACCAATTATATTAGATGAATGTTGAGCAGTAGTCTGTAAAGCAGAAAATAGGTTGTATTGACTTTCAACCTTTTCAATTGAATGGTTTTGTCTGCGAGGAAACTACATGGCAAGACCCAAGAGTCAAATATGTAACTGAGTTTCAAACGTCATGTGCACTTTTAGGGTTGCAATTACAAAGAGGAATTTCGTTCTCGACCAATCAATGCATTTTCGCTCGTAGGCGTACGAGACAGGGGGCCTCCTCTGCAGTCACTGTTTATTTGGTCAAGCCGATTCTACTTAAAAAAAATCAGGCAATTTGCTATGATAGTTCGCTGCGGTATATAATGGTTTTGTCATGATATTAATGTTTAGATGTTTAGTGAAAGCGAAACTGAATTAATGGCAGAAATGAATTCAAATTTCTTTATTAAATTCAAATTATATGCATGCAGTAGAGTGAGGAGTTTTCGATGTATCTTAAAGAATGAAATCCCAGAAATACTGCATGGTAAATAGTTCTATATCACTTGAAGATGTGCATGCTGGTAAATATTGTTTAATATGTTTTGTCTCTGTGCATGAAATTATTTTATTTTAGCCCGGATCTTCCGCACCCGTGCAATGCATGCCAACAGTCAATATTATTGGTGCTGATATCGTGATGAAGTGATCCGGCTGACGGATCAAACTGGATGCTTTTGGACGACAAAAGTGACGTAGCCCAACCAATCTCCACAACACAAAACAATCATGCATATATAGACTTTATATAGAGTCCCGGTTTGAGAATGAGATTGAAGATGTTGCATGTATTAACTGAATGCCTTGCATGGCATTACTTCAATATATATTCTTGTAAAATCATTAATACTAATAGTTCATGAAGAAAATTCAAAGGAAATCAGTGTTTATACACTCGATAAATCTGGAAGTGTTATCACATCACCAAAATCGGAGTAAATACTTGCAGCAGTGTGAATGCCAATTTGGTGTTAACCTACAGTGAATTTGGTGTAAATGTACAGCCTTTCAGTGTTAAATAGATTCTGGTGTAAATCTACACTATTAGCGTAAGCCAACACCTCTGAATTTCTTTTTACACTGCTTTGGCCCGTTTTTGATGATGATGATTGATGATGATGATGATTTTATTGATCCATATTTAGTTTAAAAATACAATGGATTTACAAATATGTCTATTAAAAGAGAAGAGCATAACTAAGCATGTAATAATATTTACAAAATATCTAAAATTTATATATATACAATTTGGAGTAAAAAAATTTAAAAGTCTAGGAAATTATTTAAAAAGTTAATAAAAACCAAGTTTGGTTTTAGTGCAACCCCTGTCTCATTGCTCGTGGGACAAAACTATTTCTGTGTCGTTCAGTGCCTGAGAAAGGTGCGTATTTAAATATACCGTCTCTACGCCTAAGATTATAGTTATGTTTATTATGTTCCATAGTTCGTTGATAAAAGATATGACTTGGATTACCTAAGATGTTAACGAGTTCCCTCGATGTGGCTTCAATTCTTCTCTCTTCGAGAGTTGGCAAGTAACCATGCGGGAGGCCAATAATTCGTAGACTCCTCCTTTGCACACGTTCCAATTCGTCCTTTAAATATCGTGGCAGACCACCCCACACTGGAGAACAATATTCAAGGATAGGCCTGATTTTAGTTAAATAAGTGGTGAGACCCACTTCGACTGGTAGATTCGCCCTTCTACATTCTCGTAGGCAGTACAGGTTTTTAGCTACTTTGCGGGTGGTCTCCTCGACATGTTTATTCCATTTCAGGTCCTTTTGAAACCAGGTTCCCAAGAGTTTAAAATTATCGACTCTTTCTATGATAGCATCTCCTATATGCAGTGGTAGAGGGGGCGGTGCTTCGGTGAAGTTAATCCACATATCTTTTGTCTTTTTGGCATTCAGTTCCATTTTATTTTCCACAGCCCAACTTTGTACTGAGTCCAGCGCGCTTTGCAAATCGCTAGATTCTCCTAATCTTATGGACGTATCCATGGTGCAATCGTCCGCATATTTGATTGTGTTGACACATGCCTGTTCAGAAACATTTTCCTCCATATCGTTAATATGTATGTTGAATAGGGTCGGCGAGGCAAATTTTTTTTCCGTAGACAGTCGGACTCCTCATTGATAGTCGGACGCATCATTGACCCGCGCCCTTAGACAAAACATTCAGCGGATACTCTTATTAGATGCGCCTTCCCAGTGTGTCTTGCGCACGCAATTGGTGATTTCAAAATATTGTATTGCTTGGTGGAGATGTCAAGATCTGAGTAGGACACATTGTGGCTTCATATCTTGTGTGGCGATGACATTATATTCGCCATTCCCACTTGCTTTTCTTTGCTTTTGTAACTGTTTTTTGTAACTCTTTTCTTTGCTTCTGTAACTCTTTCTAAGTTTCAGGAGCGATTGCAGAATACCCGTCCACTTTTAAGCCATGCCTTTCAAACATCATGGATAGGATATATCAATACATCTATATTTAGTCTCAATAGATTAATAAATAGATTGATAGATTAAAATCCCATGGTGGTAAAGGTAGCTACGAAGCATACAGTGACTTAGCGTTAATAGATTAAATTGTCATGGTGTTAAAGGTAGCTCTGTATTCTAGTGAATACGCGGATACGCAGTCAAATAGTTATTTTGAGAATGAGGCATACAGTTAGATTAGCATTAGATCAAATTCTCATGCTATAGGTAGCTCTATATTTTAGTGGATACGCGGATACGTGGATACGCAGTCAAGTAGCTATTTTGAGATTAAGGCGACAGATAGTTGGCATTAATAAATTAAATTCTCATGCTATACAGAGCTTAAATCATAAATGTGGTGTAATATGTAAATATGTTCCTCACAACCGGACATTGGTGTTACAGATTATGACTAGAAAATACATGCATGCAGAAACCCTCGCCTTGCTGGCAAAACCGTTGTATTTTCCGAACATGAAGTATCTAAAGTAGTTGTCATGGTAACACGATAATTTTTTAAGAATATTCTTACAAATGAAAATCGCCTAAAAATATCACTTTTAATTACAAAATTATCAATTTCCCAACATATATATGTTAGGTATGTAATTATACGTAATACAAGCTTCAATTTAAGGTAAAATTCAACCACAAACAATTCACAAAACGTTTTAAAGTGTTCTTTATAAAACTAAACTGCCTTTAACTATTATTAAAATGGCTTTATCGATAAACTTTGAGTTTGCAATAAATTGAATAAAATGATTTCAAATTCTCGCTTGCAAACTGACTTTGCTTTATTTTTTATTTAAAAAATTCAATATAATAAAAAAGGGAATCAATATTAAAGATACACTGAAATTATATGCTGTCTTGTTTAGTTGTTTCATATACGCAAAGGCCGTCGGGTTTTAAAGCCATTATAAAATCAATATTTAAAACAAACTTACCTTCGTTAACGTCGCCTCCCTTCTTTTAGCTGATTCTTTCGCCCTTTCTTTCTTGAAATTTCCAAAATCTTGCAGAAATACGAGCAAAAATTAACAATATTTGCAAGAAATTTATCAATCATCAACTCATCAAATCAAAAATACAAGTTACAAGAAATGTTTGCTATTTCGCTGTCGTCATGCAGTCGTTATAATGCAAACTTTAAATTGGACCAATCAGTGTCCGTTATTCATGACAGTCCGCCATAATTTTGAGATCAGTGAGGATGACCACCCATCGTTGGTGACCGACGCCCGCGCTCATTGATGAACTTTAGACTTCGCTAATGCTTTCGTTTCCCCGGGTGTAAATAGCCGGGGGGAATTAGTACCCTCGCACGGCGCTTCGCGCCGCCGGCTCGGGGATTAATTAGCGTCGCTGGGAGAAAAAAGTTTATATTATAAAGCATACTAAGCATAATATTAAACATTAAAAGTCTTGAATGATATTTCCTTTATAGTACCAATTCGTAATATTGTCTTGGTAATTAGTTTGTAGAAATTAGAACGAGGCAATAATATCTGGTATATACGTATCCAGTGAAATAGTGGCCGGGCTACATGATATGATATTACTAGTGGACGGGTATTCTGCAATACTTCTATTTGTTTTTAACTCGCAATAACAGTTCTTGAGTATTTTCGGAACCAGAAAAACAAGTTTGTAGATTTACAATGGTATCGCGAAGCATATCGTTCATCTTTCTGGCGTGGTCGAAGAACAACGTGTAATGATGGATATATGGTGTACCAGAGGGTTACACAGGTTACGAAGGGATCCATCGATAACGCGCAGAGGCATGAACGCGGATCAATGATGCGTCCGACTATCAATGAGGAGTCCGACTGTCTACGGAAAAAGAATCTGCGTAGCCGCCATGTTGCCAAATAAATACAAGCACGTGATCACAGCATGAAATCTGAATGGTTATACTTAAAATTCCACCGATACAAATCGTATAATATCAAAACGTTTTGATGTTAAAAATTTCGGTTAAAAATGACACCGCACACACAACGACTTTGTTAGTTTTAGTCAAACGATTTTTATCGGCCGACTAAAATCGCATCATGTGCGCCAGACTTAAGTCTTTTGGCTATGTCTCTGGGCTGAGAAATAACTCTTTTAACGCGATCAAGGTATTTAAAACAAAAGTAACGCGAAGCCAACGGACCGGCAAAGACAACACTAAAATGAAATATTGTCGATAGGTTGCTGGTAGAAGACTTACGACAGGATCACTCTTAAATAGTCTTAAACTAGAAGAATAAATGTTCACATGAAAGACAAATATCAGTGCCAAAGCATAAAATCTGCTCTGTAAACTTACGACGAAGTGGAGAAATGAGTGCATGCATGAGCTGTTTATTTGGCGATTACAACGTATATGTAAGCCCTCTTTCCAGTCTTTCCAATAATTCTTGCTAATCGCACAGAATAACACCTGTCCAATAGACAGTTCAAATGCAATAATAAGTTACCTCTTGAATTACGTCTCAAAAACTGTGTTGGAAATTTAACATTATACCATTTTACATCGTTGTATAAAACATTTTGATCGCATGTAAGGAATTAATTATTTCTCAGCCCAGAGAAATAGCCAAAAGACTTAGCATTAACGTCCTTGTAATTTTATCGAGATAGAGCCAGAACTGAGGATTTCAAAAAGCTTTATCTGTATCTTCCAAAAGTTGTAGACAAGATATGTTGTTTACGTCCAACACGCATAATATAACATAACTCAAAATGATTCGAGCAAAACCGGTCTTTTGTTAAAAGGAAGACTGGTTAATAGAAATTGGTCTTTTTGAGTGACATAATCGTTTGTCGTCATCGATCCGTGTCGTTGAACAATGAAAAAAGTTGTCGTGAAATTAGCGAAGATAAAATTGCAGTTTGTGCCGAAAACTGCAGGTCTACGGAGCGGGAACTTTTCAGATTTGAACTCAGCGTGTTCGAAAGTGTTAGTTCCCGTTTACAATATTTCAGTTCCAAGACATGCTAAATGAAAATGCTAAATGATTTATTATTTGGTCACAGCACACACTCACTAGCTACAGCCTATATTTTCTTTAAACTGCATGTCGTCTCATATGATTTTAAAATCTCGATTATTACACTCCTGACAATCTGTCTCACTTTTTAGATCAGTAAAAGGTCCACCCATGAATTATATCCGCGCGCCCGCGATCATTGATGCATTTTTAATGCGCCCGTTCCGCACGTTGTAACCAATAATCTATTGGCGTTGTAATGCCATTGTATTCAATAAAGTATTGGGTTGTAACTGAAGACAAAATTAAAACCATAAGCATTGGACAAAAGTTTTAGTTATAAATGTAATTGGCGTAATTAAGAGGTTGGCACAGTGGGGACCGGGCAAATAACTAAAAAAAAGGTTATCAACTTTGGGGTTTGGGGGTGGGGGTTAGAGGTTAGGAGGTGGGGTTAGAGGTTAGGGTTAGAGGTTAGGATTAGGGTTTGGATCAACGTTTGGATTAATTGTGGACCCATTACAACCCAATACTTTATTGCATACAATGGCATTACAACGCCAATAACTTATTGGTTACAACGTGCGGAGCGGCTGAAATTATAGCTTTACTCTGATGTAAATGGAATGGAATTCGTACCCTCGCTATACGTGCGCGTATAGCGCGTGCTCAGGGATGAACAATCAGGGTATTTTTACTATTTATATACGAAATCTAGCTTCCTATTTTAAACTACTGAAGTAAAAATAAAATAAGAAAAAATCTTGTCTCATCATTAGTATTTTATTATTTATATTAGTATTATATATGGCAATATCAACGTTTGTTTGCGCGCGGAGAGGAATTTTTCTGTCTTGTGATTTCTTGGGTGGAACTAATTAGAAAAACAAAAACAATTCCGCTCCGCACCCAAAACTTCGCCTAGTGGAAAACTGGCTTTATCATTAGTCAGTGGCGGTGGAACGGGTTTTATTTCTTTGTTTAGGGGGGGGGGGGGTCAGCTAAGTGCAAAGACGGCACCAACTGTAACGACCTCATCACTGACATTATTAGACCCCCTGTTCCGCCGCCTCTGTTCTTTCCATCAAAAATCTTGGTTAACAGATGATGTTACAGTTTCATATTGGTTTCTTTTCTGACTCCAACTTTTTTAATATCTTCCCTACTTTCTCTTCCATATCCTCTTTAATTTGATCCTGGATTTCTTTCAGATCATGTCGTAAGCTTGAACGAAGATTATCCAATTTATGTTCAATTTCTTTTTCAATATGATCTTCCAAATTAATCTCCATTTCATGTAATTCATGTTCATCGTCTTCATTCCCACCGTCTACTGCGTCGATTTTGCTACCGAAGTACAGTACATTTAAAATTTTTTGAAATACATTCTTTTTCCGCATTGGAAACTCGATCAGACATTCATCTTCTCTACTCTTCAAGTAAGGAATATTGTTCAGACCTCTCTCAAGTTGTATAATAAATTTAGCCTATAACAAAATTAAACGATTTATATAGTCTATATATTTAGTTTTGTTAAAAACACGAATATGAATCTTTGGTAATAACTAATATTGCTCGTTTTCTGCAATGGCCTCGTTTCCATGTTTGCCTGTTTAGCATGACAGGCGCACATATATATGTATAGGTTATTTTGAGGCAACGAGGGGATATGTGATTTATTCACCGAGGCGCGTAGCGCCGAGGTGAATAAACACATATCCCCGAGATGCCTCAAAATAACGTACTTATTTTTCACACTGCGAGGTCGCATTAATGAGTAAGAATAGAAATAATTCTTAATGTCATATTGCCTTCATTATGTTGTTTTTTTCTCATTTTTTGTGCTGCAAAGACATTGCAGGTGAATATTAAAGGGGATTATTAATTGCAGGTGAATATTAGAGGGGATTATTAAACGGAAATTGATTAGAGGAGAATATTGAATATATTCCCCGATAAGAACAAAGGAAACCGAGCAGGGTGAAAAATAAGATGGTTATATCCTCATGTTTCGTGCACGAATATGTTTCTCTTTTATCTAGATCCAAAACACAACCTATCCCTAACCCTATTGTGGACAAAAAAAATGAGGAAATAACCACATGGGAAATAACCAAGTGCACAATAAACACAGTCAGTCTATATTGTGAACTTATATTTGTAATATTAACTATTATATTAATAATTATAGGTAGATTGCATGGAGAATCGGGTCTTATGCTGTTCATATGAGCCGGGCTGGGCCAGTAAACCGGGCTGATTCGCAAGAGACGAGATCCCACCTCATATTGTGCTTGCCGATCTAGCTCGCCTCATGTAAAACAAACGGCAAATTTGTACATAAAGCGGGCCAGCCCAACTCATAAGAACATTGTAAGTGAGCTGTGATTAATTATGGGGCAGTAAATTTAGGGGGAGAGCAATTATTAAAGCTCGGCAAGTATACATGCAATTTTTAAAATTCAGCTTTCATAAAAAAATATGATGAATTGCACATATATACGTGTCTATATAGTGCGGTACAAGTGCACAACGTGATCAATTTCAAATGCACTAGTAATTATGGAAGCAAGCAAATCTTGGCCTTTTTAAAGCTGCAATTTTAAACAGAAAAATATAGAAAATATCAGAGAGCCATATATATATATATATATATATATATATATATATATATATATATATATATATATATATATATATATATATATATATTATTGGTGTAGACTAAGACATGATATCTGAAGATAATTTAATAAAACCTAAACCTATTTACGATAAAAGTTACTCGAGTTTCACGCACAAAGGCGATCATCAGACTAAAGTGCTTTTACGGTGGATTGTAGTTATAAGCGTAAAATTTCCTTTCGTGACAACACTTAGCTATTAATTCTGATCTTTTGTTCAGTAGTGATTGTTTATCTGCATTTAAAATGCAGATTTTCTCGGATAGGCACAAGTTGCATATCTTTCCTCCACTCCTATAAGCATTTGCACGCTTAAGGATTTTCCACTCGATTGCGTAAGCTGTGTCGGATTCCTTTAATTCCCAGATGAACTTCGAGAGCGTTGTACTTCCAGCGTGCTCAACATTGTTGAAGGATGATTTGTGGTTTCGGTACCGCGTTTTGAATTCGTTTTCTGTCATTCCTATGTATATTTTAGATGGCTGGTTCGATGGGATATATATTCCCAACTCACTTGGGACGGTCGTGGCATTAAAACGATTTTCTCTTACCCTTCGCAAAAACTTGTCAAAACTTGCAGATTTCATCACTTCATTGGTATCGCCAACAGCTAGACCAATTAGAGCATTGTTGACAACAACAGACATTGTCAACATAAACAAAACAAGGATGACCATTTTTAATTCGTAAATCTTTGGATACCACCCAACTGTGACAAACAGATTATCGTAATCAATGCCGTCCATCATGGCCACAAATGTTGAAACGAATGAATTAGAAATATTTCTGAAACTCTCGTGTTCAGCGAGAAGTACGTAAAATGTGCTGGCAAAGCTCAGCAAATATATTAGGACCACGATAAATATCTAGGGAAAAAAGTGAAAAAATTCATTCAGGATGCAACATTCAGTCTTAGTTCTTTATTTGGCGAGAAATGTGACAAGAAAAATTGCCCGTTTGTTTTTGTTTCTTCGAATGTTTCCTCTTTCCAATCCTTGGGAAACATTGCTGCGAAAACAAACTCTACTTTCCAGGAAGCAAAAAATTTTCACAACAAAAATTCAAATACAAGATTTGGTATAGTTATAGTTTTTTGCGCTGGAATTGGTTCCGGTTTGCCTCACTTTGAGAACTTCCAATTAAAGCTTTAATAATTCTTGAAATCAACACCATATCCTTGATACTGTGTTAAATTAATAAAGTGAAAATCCATTGATAAAGTATACTTTCGTTTAAATTCCCCTATATATATATATATATATATATATATATATATATATATATATATATATATATATATATATATATATATATATATATATATATATATATATATATATATCGTTCCCTCACGTTGTAACCAATAATCTACTGGCGTTATAATGCCATTGTATGCAATGAGGTATTGGGTTGCAAAGGTCTAGATCTACAATTTAAAAAACCCTAATCCAAACGCTAATCCTTACCCTAACCCAGTGGAAAGCTAACTGCAGGTAAACATGCCCATACTTGCCTGAAGCCAAGATGGCGCTTCTTGCGAGGCTCGGCGAGCAATAAATTAACTTTCCGAGGACTGGGGAGAGTTTCGAGGAGTGGGAAATTCAGTCAAAAGTTTGTTTTTGAGCGAAAATCAGCAAGAAAAAGTACTTTTTTATCAACAGGCTTCAACTTTAAAGATTCAAACCTGGTTTCCTGGATTGTTCTAAGTATTTTACATCCACTAACAGCAAAAACGTCATGGGTAACAGCTTGATATTCAAAATATCACGCAAGTTTGAACGTGTCGAAAAAAATTTCGCACTTTGACTCCTGAAAAAATAACTTTAAAACTGGTTTACGTTCTGGAAACACGTTTTCTATTCAATTTCAGGTATTGTTGAAAGTTTTAGCTTTTTTCCTTGTTGAAATACAGCTATTTAGTGTTCAAAAACAGAAATCTTTTCGGTGGCGTATTTTTCACTCCGTACAAAACTTTTCCCCCCCGATTTCAACTGGAAATAAGCCTGCAGTTTCATTCATGAATTAATGCTGTTCAACCGTGAAACAAAGTTTGTAATAATTGTTTTGATGTTGATGTTTTTAATAATTTAATCGTTGTTGTACCGGTTTGGGTAAGTGTAAACATTTCAGTATAGTAAAATTCCATACCGTACTTGCATGTGTTGTCAATTGTATTTATATCCGCGAAATTTTTAAGCCATTCTTAACTCGATAATTCACAATAAATAATGTGTTTTATTTAATCAGATGAAATTATTGTTTACTTGCTTTGTGTTGTTGATTTTACTGATATCTGCGAAATTTTTAATCCATTCTTACTGTCGATGTAGGCTAATGGAAGTGTTGATAAAATATTGCACCAATTCCTTCCTCAAGTTGATCAATTCATTTGATAGAAAATTGATCAACTTCCTGTTACTTTTAAATGAGCCAATTAGATTTCGTTTCAGAACCGACTGACCAATAGGAAACGCACAGGAAATAAAAAGAAATTCGAATTCGTATGAATTGATCAAATTGAGGAAATGAATTCAGGCAATATTTTATCAACACTTCCATTGCATCGACAGTAACTCGATAATTCACCGTAGATAATGCGTACAAGCTGGTATACAGTACATGAAATTGCAGCGAAATCAATGTTTATATCGTTCGTTAAGCTAGCGCATAGGTTGTGTTTTTATGTTTGTTTTAATATAATGGTCTTAATACTTTATGTGGAGTTTTTATACTTCATTTGTTAACAAAGGCGAGGGGTTGCTGCATGCATGTATTTTCTAGTATAGTGATATATTTCTACAATGAACTCTGAGATAGTACGAACCTTCATTACCGTCCAGAATACTTTTTGAACAAGTATGATATATATCCCAAGAACTGGAACAAGTTTCAGAAACTGCATTAAATTTATCCATGACAACAAAACAGAAACAGCACCATATCCAATTTGTTGTGGCGTTAATGCTTTCTCTACTGGAAGTAGATAACGCATAACAATGATGCATAATGCAAGTCTGTAATAGTGACGTTGAGAAGTGAAATAGTGAGAACGTTGTATCATAATCTGCAAATATTGGAAAAAACAAACGTCAGACGGGAAATACACATGGAAATGCTATGCCTTTCAATTAGGGAAGTTTTAGGTTAGGGTATAATGCGTATTAAGTCTTGGGTAATTGACATGCGCATACTTTATATTGACCTTGCAATTTGTGAAAGTATAAATTATATAAAAACAAGACGCTTGCTAAGCGTTTACTCGAGCTAAAGGATTTGCAAAATATCTGCCTATTCAGCGTATTCGCATCAAGATTTAATACATTTGACATCTTAGCTTACTCCTTTAAAGTGCATTATTTACGACTTAAGGTTACAGAACACCTTTGAGTGTTAATTTTGCCTAAAATTTTTTTATTGGTTTCAATGAAAGCATTAGACTAGTTCTACTATCTGACCAAGTTTGAACGAAAAATGTTGAAAACTCGCAGAGTTATTTAATAAAATACATTTCGCTGCAATAAGAAAAACATTGAAAATGTAATATTCAAATTCAATTTTCTCCCGAAAAATTTTACGGTAATTACTGATTTTCAAATGAGTTGTGCTCCTGCGGGTTTCAACCAATTTTTCTCAAATTTTCACAGGTCATAGCTAAATACGTCAGTTTCAAAAACGTGTTCGGCTTTTTTTTAATTTTGGATATTTTAAAAATAAAGAGCAATTCACTCAAACAATTCAGAAATATATTGCAGTCGTCAAAGAAATCGCCATATCAGCGGAATGACGAAATAAACAAAAATTTCCGAACACTTTTTTTAGAACAACTATTTTACTGTATAAAAATGATATTTTCATAAATATAACTTGAAACCAGCAGGAGCACAACTCAAAAGCCTAACGGTACCGCGATTTAAGATTTTCTTGAATAATTCTTACATTATTTTATTGTTTGTTAATTTTACAACTTTACCATATTTTGCATGCACTGGAGAACATTTGGTGCAAATTTGATGAAAATCGGACTGATATTGAACGCGCAGTAGCGATTTTCCGCAAAACGCCAAAAAGGGTGTCCTGTAACCTTAACTGAACGCACTCCTTGTGGCGCAGTGGTTTAGGCGCCCGCTTGCGAAGCGTGGCGCCACTCCCGGGTTCAAGCACCGTAAGCAACAGCTAGTTTTATTCCCAAGCCAAAAATTTTTTTTTCAACTTCTTTTGAGTATGACTTTAAGCTTAGGTCTTAGGGCCTGTTTACATGGAGGTAGGGTGACCCTAGCAGAAGGGTTACCCTACTTCAATATGTTTTATAGGGAGCGTTTACATGCGCGCTAGGGTTACCCTAGGGGTAGGGTTACCCTATCAAACAGATAGGGTGACCCTAGCAGCAGAGCTATCTTTTTGTTTACATAAGCCATGTAAACGCGTCAGATAGGGTTACCCTAGCAAGCGAGTCATGTTTTATACGTCCTACTGTGACTGGTGGACAAACAAGGATGGCGTCGCTAGATTATACATGTGAACATATCAGCCTGGCGAGTATTTTAAACGACACCAGAAAATAAAAAGGATAAGCAATTTACAAATAAGGAAGCAGAGGCATAGAACGAAGCTTTGCCTTTGGACGATAACGCGGCGAATGATGTAGTTTCGATAACAAAGTCAAAGACGGAGAAAAGGAAGCAAAATTCCGGCGCATCCTCATCGACGTCAAATAAACAAAATAAATGCTCTTGGTCAGCTTAACATGTCGAAAAACTGCTGTGTTGGACTACATCAAGGAATATATTACGCAATGCGAGTAATAGACCACAACATTGAAATAACAGACCACGATATTGAAATAACAGACCACAACAGTGAAATGCAGCAAGCGAAGGCCCAATAAATAGCATTACACAACTTGCCGCTAAAACTTTGCGTTTCGGCGTCATTTATCTAATACAGACGGCTTAGCGACCACGCATAGGTAGGGTTACCCTATCGGGCAACATAGCCCTAGCAGTAGGGTCACTCTACCTCATGTAAACGCTCGCTATTTTCTGACCCGCTTGCTAGGGTAACCCTCCTGATAGGGTCACCCTACCTCCATGTAAACAGGCCCTTAGGATTAGCCGGAGTTAGGGTTGTGTGTGGGGTGGGTTTAAATTTTTTAAGAGAATATTTTTAACACTTCAGGACTAAATTTCCTGACTGCCGGGCACACTGCCCGACTGCCGCATGTAGACTAGTATTTCGATTCCGATGGAATTAAGTTTGATAGTTTAGATACATGTGATGGATATTTTGAATATAAACTAGATGGAGCACACAAAATATGCGTACAATCGACTACCGAGTACACCGAGTACACCGAATTTGATCGAGTACGCTTAGAAAGCTTAGAAAGCGTACAGCCGTTTGCCCGTTTTAATACTTTTGATCGAGTATGCTTAGAAAGCGTACAGCCGTTTACTTTTGATCGAGTACGCGTAGAAAGCATACATTGACAAATACTTGATCGAGTACGCATATTAAAATCCACTATTATAGTATACTTTTTGTATAAAGAATGCTGAGCACAGTTCTCAGAGTAAACAAATTAAAGTAATTATAGCACGAAGAGCAGGAAGTCGAATAAGCCATTGAAACCAATAAGATAATCACAAATAATCACATGCGTCCACGATTTGTTTCGATTGGTCAGAATTAAGAGTGGCCGCGCGGGAGAATAAGTCTTGCGCGAAAAAAAAACCCCGACCGAAACTATAACTCGAGTTGAGCTCGAGTAATTAAATCAAAACTAGTTTACTCACGGGGTAGTGAATACTGCCTTGGTATAGCATTGTTTCCAAATCTTTAATATTTTAAAGAATAAGAGTAAGAAATATTTGTAATGAATTGGAATCATTATTTCAATTGAATGTGCCGTATGATAACTCGGCGCCAGTGGCGTAACGCAACCGCTGGGGGCCCTCCGTCAATCGGCCACTTTTGGCCCCCCTTTGCTCCACTAAAAATAGGCTGAATTTACGACTTATGTCTACACAACAGCAATCCTCACTTACATAATATATGTTTACAGAATGGACTCCAATCCATTACATTGTTGAGATTATGCCTCCAAAGAATCCTCAACACAAATAATATTTGTATTTTATTGACAATATATCAAAATCCCTATCAATACGAAGTTCGGACAGGAAAACCAGGCCTACACAAAAAAAGTTCGGACTCGCGCGTCCTACGCGTAAACACAACAATTAAATGGGAAATTGATAATATGCTAAAAACCATATACAAAGTTACGAAGTTTATCGAGAAAATCTGTCCTTCCTTCTAGCATTAACAAAAGCGAAATGATTAATGACTTTATCTTTTAATGTTTGAGTTATTTCTTTGTTCTCTATTGAAATCAAAGTTAACCCATCAAGGCGCTCTTGAGCCATAGAACTCCTCAGATAAGATTTAATGATCTTCAGCTTTGAAAAGGACCTTTCTGCAGATGCTACTGTCACAGGAATGGTTAGGAATAACAATAGCAATTTGCATAACTGTGGAAAGGAGGAAGCAATTCTGGCTTTGTAAGTGATTTCAAGAATGCTTGATATCGAGGTAACGTCTTCCGCTTTTAATTCGTCAAGAAATTCAACTTGAAACGAACGAACCTCTCTTTCCAGGTCATCACCATCAAAGTCTTCGCCATATACACGTAGTAAGTTCGAGGTGGCTACTTTAATTTCGGCGACCTCCAGTTTGACGAAGTTTCTTGGGAACAGAAAATCAAATTTCTCTGCGACCATTTGCATTCCTTTAAAACGCACTTCTATCTGTGTTACAGCAACATCAATGGTTCTGTAAAAGATGTTTATTTTAAAAGCTCTTTCTGAATCCTCGATCCTAGAATCGGAAGCCAATTCGTCGAAGAACTGTTTTACCCCACGCTTACGTCGTTTCTCAAACTCAATGGGAATGCCCCATGATGCAGCAAGGGCATTTGCGGTCATTCGAACGGACTCCCATGAATTTCGCAAATACCTTAGTTCTGACAAACTAATGGATAAAAGTCTGGAAGCGGCACTGAGGTCGACACTTTTCGACTGCAGTTCCTTTGATGTGGAATTGGTACATGACAAAATTCTCTCCCAGAGAACTAGATTTATGATAAAGTCAATTTTTGCAATGTTCTTCTTGATGCCAACTGCTTCATCACGTTCTTTTTTATCCTTGCTGGTCAACGAAATGACTGTCAGTCGCTTCAAAATGTCAGCAAGTCTGTCCCGCACTCCACGGACCGAATCTACCCTAGACGACCACCTGGTAACGCAGAGCTTTTTTAAAGACAAGGACGAATCAACAGCGAGCAACTGTAAATCTCTTGACCGATTTATGGACGATGAGAAAAATACGAAATGGATTGAATAACTCCAAAAAAGTTATCGTTATCAACAACGGAATTTACGG